TCCCGCCCGCCCGCCCGCTCACGTGATAACATAATACGTCCCCGTCTTCGACGGGCGTATAAAAAGGACATACAGAAACAATGGACATACAGAAACAATAACATACAGAAACAATAACATACAGAAACAATAACATACAGAAACAATAACATACAGCTACTTCATATATATAGGTTCATATATCACAACCAGTGAAATGTTTATAGGTTCTCATATATAACCAGTGAAATGTTTATATCTGACATTTCAATAACTCGTACGATATGTACTCTGTCAACTTCATCAGACAAAAAAGTATAATCACGGTAATGGTTGTGATTGCTATAAAAAAAGAAAATATACAATAAACAGAATAACTCTGTAAGTAAGGAGCCACCGGCCCCGATTATGACACTCCCGTGTTAGTGTGCAACACTTCGATGAGTCAAACATTGAAAGAGCTATAATATACAAAGGGCAATAACTCTGCAAGTAAGAAGCCACAGGCTATGACACTCCCCTGTTAGTGTGCAACACTTCGATGAGTCAAACAATAAAGGAGCTATAATATACAAAGGGTAATAACTCTGCAAGTAAGGAGCCACAGGCTATGACACTCCCCTGTTAGAGTGCAACACTTTGATGAGTCGAACATTGAAGGAGCTATAATATACAAAGGATAATAACTCTGCAAGTAAGGAGCCACAGGCTATGACACTCCCCTGTTAGTGTGCAACACTTCGATGAGTCAAACATTGAAATAGCTATGATATACAAAGGGCCATAACTCTGCAAGTAAGGAGCCACAGGCTATGACACTCCCCTGTTAGTGTGCGACACTTCGATGAGTCAAACATTGAAGAGTCAAACAATGAAGGAGCTATAATATACAAAGGGCCCTAACTCTGAAAGTAAGCAGACACAAGCTATGACACTCCCCTGTTAGTGTGCAACACTTTGATGAGTCAAACATTGAAAGAGCTATAATATACAAAGGGCCCTAACTCTGAAAGTAAGGAGCCACAGGCTATGACACTCCCCTGTTAGTGTGCAACACTTTGATGAGTCAAACATTGAAAGAGCTATGATATACAAAGGGCCCTAACTCTGAAAGTAAGGAGCCACAAGCTATGACACTCCCCTGTTAGTGTGCAACACTTTGATGAGTCAAACATTGAAAGAGCTATGATATACAAAGGGTAATAACTCTGAAAGTAAGGAGCCACAGGCTATGACACTCCCCTGTTAGTGTGCAACACTTTGATGAGTCAAACATTGAAAGAGCTATGATATACAAAGGGCCCTAACTCTGAAAGTAAGGAGCCAGTAGGCTATGACACTCCCCTGTTAGTGTGCAACAGTGCGATGAGTCAAACATTGAAAGAGCTATGATATACAAAGGGCCATAAGTCTGCAAGTAAGGAGCCACAGGCTATGACACTCCCCTGTTAGTGTGCAACACTTTGATGAGTCAAACATTGAAAGAGCTATGATATACAAAGGGCCATAAGTATGCAAGTAAGGAGCCACAGGCTATGACACTCGCCTGTTAGTGTGCAACACTTCGGTGAGTCAAACATTGAAGGAGCTATAATATACAAAGGGTAATTACTCTGCAAGTAAGGAGCAAATGGCTATGACACTCCCCTGTTAGTGTGCAACACTTCGGTGAGTCGAACATTGAAGGAGCTATAATATACCAAGGGCAATAACTCTGCAAGTAAGGAGCCACAGGCTATGGCACTCCCCTGTTAGTGTGCAACACTTCGATGAGTCGAACATTGAAGGAGCTATAATATACAAAGGGCCATAACTCTGCAAGTAAGGAGCCACAGGCTATGACACTCCCCTGTTAGTGTGCAACACTTCGGTGAGTCGAACATTGAAGAAGCTATAATATACAAAGGGCCATTAGGGATTAATGCAGGAATAGAAAGTTAGTACCTTTTTTAAGGGAAGGATGGCATCTTTAATTTTTTGTTCTCCCTGTTCATCATAGACGCTTCAAATCATATACGTGTAGTGTAAACAAGGCCAGCCATAAACAGTGTCGCAAAATATCGACAGTGACAACATAAACACAGGGAAAATTAGATAAATCACTTGGCCGTCCAACTGATGGAAAATTAAAATACAACAGTACCATGACAGACATTTGGGTAAATTTTAACTGAAATAGGGGGAAATAATGCCAAAATTGGAAAGGGGAATTGGCCCATAGTTGGCCATAAAAAAGGCTTGTATATATCCATGGCCATGATAAGTCTACAAGTAAGGAGCCATGTGACCCTCATTGAGAAAGAAACGGTCCTCCATACCAGTCATAGATGTTCACGAAGTTATAAACAAAGAGGCTGAAAACTGTGGCCTTAGTTAACTTTGTACCTTGTCTTTCCTTGGGGAATGCTCATCTTCTTGACCAGCTGACCGTCCACAAACACACGGTAGTATGATTGGGGAACTGTGGTTTTTCCCTGAATAGCAATCACAAATGGCGTCACTGGCCATTTCTGGAACAAATTTGATAAGAAAGTTAGATTGAAATTCCCACTAGTTACCATAAAACAACAAATTTCTGTTTGTGTACAGATGTCTACCATCACTACGTCTAGAACATTCTAGAGAAAGACTGAAGCACAAGTTCACAGCGTTAGCGTCAAACTACAAAGGGACATATATAGATATTATAAACTTTGACTGTCTCTTGAAAAGGCATGGAAGAATTGTTTAGTTATCTAACAATTTTCTCTCCATATTCCAAAATCCATTCAATCACCTGCAAGTGTTTCTAAGTCAGAGACACTGATGCTCAACGCACAAATGAAATCATTTTCATGCTGATGCTTTAGGAAGTGTTTATATCTAGAGTAAAACTCTAAATATACCGCTATTTCCCAAGTGGGCACTTTTTCCATGTTCAAGTAAAAATCACACATTTATTTCATACCTTTTCATGAGACAATCAAAGTTGCAGTCACCTTGTTTTTTCTGTATTTCTCTACAATGTCAGGTAATTATATTTACACTGTTACAAGTGGGCTACGTAGTACCAGACCCCATGTGAATTTATGTATTAACATGCTATGATGTTCAGGCAGGATCTGAGTTAAAGCTTTTGTCATCATGAATATTATAATAGTAATAAGAGTGTTTCAAGCTCCAAAACTTCAGTCTGTGGTCCTACCTGTGTTTCGTTTTCACCCTGGATGATCTCGGAATACTCCTGCTGGTAGCTGAATGGCGTAAACAAGTTGCTCTCGATATAACAGACCTCATATTTATGGTATTCCGGCAGGGTGGTCCCCCCTACTCGTATTGACAGAGTGAAGTCCTGGTTTGTCGGCATATCATTCCTGGCATTAAAAAAACAGATTACATCTATACCAAGCATGTAGCTATCCCTATACCGACTCCCATGCTAAACATTTTTTTATGATCTCAAACTACTAATTGAAATACAGTTATTACTTTGTAAACTGATTTTGTATTGCTTTTCTTAGCTTCAGTAATTGTCTCCCTTAATAATGACAGCATCCTTGTTTTCATATTCTCTAGTTTATACTCTACAAACCTACCATGGCTGTGTTCCCATTGACAGTTAAACATCATCAAATGCACAAAAATAGACCTTGCCAATTACCATTTAAACCTTGGGTGGTTGGTTGGCACAGTGGGTAGCCACTTGCCTTTCACCAAGGCCGTCAGGGTTCAATTCCCCGATCGGACGTGAAAAGGTATGGGGTTACCTGCCCAACCACGTGGGTTTTCTCCAGGTTCTCAGTCCTCCCATACTAAGACCCCTGCGAGCTAACATCCGGGCCAACAAGAGTGATTAATTTAAGTTGAAATAACTTGTTTCATAATTTTTTAACCTTTAAAACCCACTTATTGGTGATACTTGAGTATGTTTTGATTATATTCATTTTTTTTATATGTGCCTAATTGCATACCTTTTGGTATCCGTACTGAAAGCAAAGCGCCCCACTGATCAACCCCCAAACCTACACCTAACGTTGGCTCTATTACCTTACTTCATAATAGTTTCATAATTGTTGTAAAATATATAAAGTTTATATTTATATTTGAACCTTTCACAAACTTTGATGTGTTTCAAGTAAATCCCCTTGTAAACCACATCTCAGAATACAGTGAAGTTAACACTAACCAGTATTGTCCTGTAAATCCTGAGTTCTGTTCTGTAGAAGGGAACACCTTTAACAACAAGTGAGTAGTACTAACAAGCATACCGAGTGTAGGACAGAAATAGGTGCAGAATTCACAAGGGATTTCATTAGCAATACTTTTTGTGGCATTTTTTAAGTACTGTGATTCATATATACACATGAATTAAAATTTACCAATGTTGACAGTAAATTCTACACAGAGCCTATATATAGTTATTCAATGTTAATCTGATGTCTTTTATGTTGTACACTGAGAAACACTCTCATATACCGGTATTTCTCAGTAATTTTAGGAGAGTTGTCACATTAAGAGTTATTTTCATGATTCAATGAATGAAAGAAATATAGATTTTTTAAAATTGTTATGGACTATTTCTGACATACACATAATTCATCATGTCCACTCTTCCTTATTTCAGATTTCTTTGAGGTAATTTTGAGTATTTTTTTTTGGACACAAATATTTTAGTCCTGGGCTCGTGCTTTTCCTATGGGACTCACTCGAATTCTATGAACCAACTAATGGGACTATCATCATTTTAAAAATGATGTTTGTAAACAGTAAACATTTATAGTTGATCCTCACTTGTTAGCTTAATCATTTATTTCCTCATATCCAAACATGAAAGTTCAACCAATTTTTTTTTCTCTTTCAGATATAAATTACAATACTTCACATAAGCACTATACATACCTATATTATATGAATAAACAATTATTTTAAAGGATCAAATTAAAGTATCATTAAGCTAACCATACTTGTAAACATGACATCAGCTCACGACATATCTCGGGGAAACTTTTAGTTCTTGCAAAACTGTATCATCGAAAATCTGAGAGCCCCTCTTATCATTCTTGTGCAATCTATACTTACACTATGAGGTCCACAATAACACTATGGATCTGCAGAAACACTTCGTTGCTCCAGTTTTTAGTTGTCAACAACGAGCATTAGCTCACTTAGTGGTATTCCCAAAACTAACCAACCGAAACGAAAGTGAACCATTCAGAACCCATCGGCAATAAACCGATCGATGTATTCCGAATGTACAATTAAACGAACCGGATTTTAATGCCCGAGGGCGCCAATATTTTCAAATATTTGAAATGTAGTTGTAAATCTGTTGACTGAGAAAAATATTGGCATTTACTGGAAAATCATTGGGTATTTAATTTCAATAAAAGATTTGTGGCCAAACAATATGCCGTTGAGTATTTTTTCCCTAATTTCCACTGTATTACGATTGACGGAATTATTATTATGATGCACCAACTTACAATTAATATTAGGCCAAAATAGACCGATTATATCGACCTTTAATCAAGATGTTCGGAATATATATAGTGTCAACAGTAAAAATATAACACAAAGTTTGCGGAGGAGTATACTGACTATAGGCGCTATATATCCCGACTATATTGATCGAACTTCTATGTAGACCTAGTCGGGATTTTCACTGCTACAGTAGGCCTGTGTTCCACTAGATGCTTGAAGTAATTAGGTAACATCTTTGCTTGCTACCACATTTGGTACAATTTTGACAGTTTTTCAGTGATATTTAAAAATTCAGATCTTGTATCTGGAATGTTTCTTAATTCTTGACAAAGACTACCCGTGGTGGTTCATTTCGGGAAAAAAGTTTTGATTCTAATTAAAGATGTACACCTCTGAGAAGTCAAAAAATTCCTGTATTAAACATTTTTTCTTATATGGATTTTTGGAAAAAGGAGATAATTGCATAGTAGAAAATGCAAAAAAACCTATATGTCGGTGTGTTCGTTTTTGTGCTTTGATCGGTCAAAGATACCAGTTTAACACAATATGTGATTTTAGGTGAATTTTCGGGTTTTTACCATTTGCAGAACAAATTCATACAATTTCTTCAAGATATGTATGAATGTTTGTAGAATTGATAAAAATATTATTTTCTTTGAAACTATGGNCTTTTTTTAATATTCAATGAATCAAAAGAAAATGTGTTTCTCTTTCTAAAACAGCCACAAAAATGGGGGGTCGGTGTGCTTCTTTTTTTGTCCCATTATTATTTGTGTTATTTTTCACCTTTTTCGGGGTCAAAAATCAAAAGTGCTTCAGTTACCCTAATATGTAAAAAAAAATATCAATAATATATAACTTTCCACTTTTTTGCATATTATTTTAATCATATTGAACATTATAAAGTTGTACAGCAAAATTGAACCTGCTACAATTAAAAATGGTGACACAATGACAATTTAAGTGATCAATCTAGTGTCAAAAAAGGTGAATTTTGGCCCTTACACTTTTTCAAAATGGCCGCCAAATTGGTCATTTTTTAAAAATTCTCGTTAAAAATGTTCTACACACAACAGACATCTAGTTTTTTTTACATGTTTTTCAGATGTGTGTTTGCTATTATACCTATCATAATTTGTTAAATATTACAAAAACCCGTTACACCAGATCAAAACGAGACTTGAACGTGACTGAAACCTCAGAAGAGTACATCCTTAAGTGATTTGTTTCTGAAAATGGAACGCTAAACTCGTAACAAGATTTCGTCCGTTTTTCGGTTGTGATTAGTACCTAAATAGGTACACCATATCACAGACTATGGAACTTGTTTTTATTTCGGTTAGTTGATGTGTCGATTGAAACAAAATATATTGCTTTTATAAATACCATACGAACATACAATGGTATATGTAGTATGCAAAATTCAGATTGTGTGAGCATAACCTTGAACTGGCAATAGGAAGATCAAGAAAACCCCTAAAGAGCAAAGAGTATGTAAAAATGTCTTGTTCTAGAAGATGAAGAACACAGCTGAGAAAGGACTATTTAAGTTAATATTTAAAACTATTCTATACTAGACACAAATACTTTAACACATATTTTATCTTCTGACAATATGCAACTTATAGTTGACTCGTGCTTACACTTGAACTGAGGAGTGTGGGCCTGGCTTCTGTGTAAGTTCTTTGTATATTTGTTGTTTTGTTTTTTGTCTTCAAGTTACTCTGTAACTATAAATGAGCAATAAAATTATTGAATTGTATACACTTTCATATTATCCGATTATAAAAAAAAATCAGAAATCAACATTTAAGCAGTGCTTATAATTAACCCCTTCAAAATCCTCCAAAATATCGTCGATGTACGTCGTTTGTACCGGTTTTCTGATACATTTATTTTGAAGTTATCGTTTACTCTTAAAATGTTCATGAAAACGAAACTATTCGGTGGAATCGCTGATATATATCTTTTGTTATACTGTCAGAGGAAAATGCTCAAATTTAATTTTAAAGTACTATTCAAACCATTTTCTGGCCGTGTACCAATTGTGGTAGCGTGACGTTACCAGTTTGAAAAAACCCTGTGTGAAGTTAGTCACCAGTTATAAAAGGACAAACACAAAGTTTGCCGTGGACCATCATGACTTCCCTATATTATTTTAATAATAATAATAATATTTATTCAGGTAAAATAGGCATGTTATTACAAGATATCACAGTTTAGAATAAAATATATAATTAAAATCACATTGCAGCTTGTAAATAAAAAAGAGTATTTTGTATTAAGACTGAGAATAATAATAGATCTGACCTAATAAAAGGTTTTTTAATTCAATCATTGACATATATTACAGAGTATAAAAATCTAAAAAAGTCTGATACACTGTAAAAGGCAGATATTACTGTAACGTGCACCGTGGTCGGTACCTATTTGGTCCGTCCCAAGTGCCTCTCGGGATATGCTGTGCAGTTCTGGTAGCTTCGCCTTAGCGCACTTGCTTAGTAGCGCAGGGACTTCCTATATAAATTGGACCCAAGCAAACTTAATCAGACTATAATTAGTATTATTTACAAAGGATTTTAATACGGTAAACCTATGAAACAGTTGCATACAATAAACAGGGTCGTGCTACTTGTCACGGGACTCACAATTACAATACACAATTAACGTTAACAGGGGGGGGG